GTTTTCACTCAGTCAACAATGTCAAAGGGCCATTCTGATGATAAAGTTATTGAGAGCACTGACCTGTTTGTTATGAATGATCTCACTTACCACTCATGAATAGACTGCTTGTAATTGACCCACCAATCATACCACTGTATGGGGTTACATAACTAATAATAACAGCTTTTCACCACTACAGAAAAAAGCAATAAACATTAAATAAATATTTTTGGCCCCTGACCTACAACCTGTAATCTAAAATAAAGGATTATATACCCATTTCATCCCCTCGTCAATTACACGTGGTGTCACCTGGAACCTTTAAAAGGTGCTCTGGAAGCCTCGGGGACTTTTTTGGCCTGAACACCTTTGGGGGAGAAAATTCATTCAAAATAAGAAGCACATCTGTGCAGTTAACATATTCCACTCATTAAATTATAAATGAGCTTCCCTACACATATCCTCAGGTATACGTTAAAATTATTATTTTTTGGACAAACCAAAATTGCCATACTTATCTACACTTGAGCCAATCCTCATTTCTTTATATTTTTCTTCAAGAGAGCAGGCTTTCTTTATATTTTTAAAGTTCTCCAGGCTTTCCAAAAGTTTTTCTTTGGAGATTAACTGATTTTTCACTCAGTTTTAGTCCAGTCATTGTACCTGACCACTTAACTCAAGATATGAACCAGAGTTGAGTCTAAAAACAACAAATAACTTGGCAAAGAACCACTTTTAAATTGTATCTTTAGACACTTTGTTGATAGCAGCCTCCCCCAAAACACATATTTTGGGGCATTTCTTTAGTTGAATCTAAATGTAAGAAAATGTATGAAAAACACACACTATTTAATAGGCATAAAATAGTATTTTGTACCAACAACTACTAGCTGAAATTCTGGCATATCTTGGCATGGTGTGCAGTGTTTCCTTTCTTGAGAAAAATGGACAAGTGGAGGACAAAGAAGTAGCAGCAGGATTTAAAAAATTCCTTGAGTTAAAAAAAAAAAACTTAATAGAAAATGTTCCAGTGATACAAGTCCTGAGTGATGATCTGTCCGATGAAGCCTCATCAGAAAAATTACCTTTCAATGGAAAGGTGGCTGTCAAGAAGCCACTCTTAAGAAATTAAAATGGGTGAATTTGAAATTTCTGGCTCAAAAATTGAGGTGGTCAGTGAGGTACAACAGTGAGTCTTTACAGTCATCTATAGATGACGGTGGACGCACTGTCGTGGTTTGGGGCTGCGTTTCAGCCAGAGGTGTTGGAGATCTTGTAAAAATGCAATTATAAATGAGGAAAGTACCATGCAATTTTAATCCACCTGGGAATGGCAGATTTGATTGGCAGCAGCTTCATTTTTCAATGAAAATGATCCCAAACACACTGCCAATAGAATAAAAGCCCACTTGTACAGAAAAGCACATAATGCAACTCTTATCAGTCATGGATTGGCCTCCCTGGAGCCATTATTGGCGCGGTATGGGATCATCTTGACAGAATAAAACAAAAGGCAGCCAAAGAAAAACTTTGAATGCCCTGTGAGAAGTGTGGAGGACTATTGCTGAAGACTACTTAAATACATTTTAAGAAAGCTTCGTAAGAGAGTTCAGGCTGTGTTGAAGAATAAAGGCGGTCACGCCAGTTATTGACTGTGAGGGTTGTCCAAGTGGTGGAGGCAGAAATAAATTGTTTAGAAGGTTGACAGTCCAGTCTTTTTTATTTTTATTCTTTATTCAGGCACACACTAGTCCTCTAGAGGCTTTGCAACCCCTGATTAAATAGCCAGCGGCTCCTCCCACTCCTTGAAGTAGCAATTAAATACTGATTAATGATTATTATATACTGTATGTCCATGTGAGTTTGCACATTTTTCAATAAATTGCTGCACATATTTCCAACTTTCCTATCAATATATAAGGCTTTTGCACAGCCTAGTGTATTGTAATTCCTGGGGCAGATCTTCACCAGTACCTTAAACACAAGTTAATAAAACATCATAAACTTTTTTGTGTATGCGTATTCTTTTATCTAGAGCTAAGTTATCATGTGCAAAGACGAGCTGTTTGCATAAGTACTATGAAGAATCTTCATTTCAAACAACACCGAAAGTAGATGAAGCAGAGGCATTAATGAAAGCTTTACGGGTATTAATACCACAATGTTAACTTGACTAATGGTAAAGCCCATTAGGTAGAGCTGAAGGTGTGAATACAAAACACATTAGGTGTGAATTATGTTATTAACATTTACAATCAAACACTGTCATCATATTCAAACAGCATCTCACTAAGTCCCACAATAATGTGCTCATCAATTCTCCGTGACTTTGCCTGACATTATTTGACGACATAGAATTCAAGTTGACATTTATCAATGCAAAAGGCATCGAAGCAGCCAACTTGGCACAATATGCCTCAACAAATATTAAAATACATGCATTACAATACCAGCCAATTCCTCCCACGTCCACACTGGGCAATAGATTTTTCTATAATTGTACGATCTGACCAGAGAAAATTAGCTAAATTTCTCTGGAAAATAGTTTGAAGGTGAAAGCCAGTGCCCACAGTAGACTGAGACAAGTAAATGGGTATTTTAACCTTCTGTTAATATCAAACTGAATGACTGAAGCTTCTTTTTGCCAACAGACATGCTGTGAGACAATATTCAGACGCTACAATTATCATAATGTTGTCGCAATGAGATGTATGTGACTAGCACTGAAATCACTCTGTCGTCGGGAAGTTTTGAGCATTCAGCACTAACACAGCAGAACTTAATGCTGATAGAAAAAAAAGTTTTCTTTGTGAACCAGTGACGAATGACTGCTGGAATGGATCTGAATGAGACAAGCAACTTGCCAAGAAGATATTGACCGCTTCTGTCACTGGCATTTATTTGGACCAATTGATGGGTCAGCTGATAGTAAAAGTTTCCAGATTAGCCGGTGGGTGTTCATAATATAATATTATTAATAAATCAATCCATTTGTCTTTCGTCAAATGAAGCAAAGCTCAGGCAAACTGAGCTGTATTGAGCATTTACTGTCAGTGTTTTCCACATTGTAATATTTGCAGATTATCTCCCTGATTTCAGCACATTTTATGCTCCCCTGTTTTGCTTTGAAAACAAACGAAAACATTAGTGTAATGAAGGGAGCGAAATCTTTGCATTTCACAGGCGTGCACGTTCACCACTTCAAGGAACAAGCTTGTGTTGATATGTGTGTACCTAATTGGATGTCAGTTCCTTCCTGTTTGTTTCCCTGCACATTCTGGGACTCTAATGGCACCAGTCGACTAGGTCTGCCAGTTTAAAAAATAATGATATATCTATTAGAAAATGTATACAGAAAAATGGTTTGAAGTGGTTACAAGCGCAGATCAATTGAATAAGCGTAATTTGTGAATGTGTGCGCCTGGCAATCATTGTGCATTTCTTTGCAGTTGACTCATGAGGCCGTGGTACAATAAAGGAGAGCTGTGAATCATTAGTGACAGTGTGGTTAGGTTAAGGAGACTGTCTATCAAAGTAGACACAGAATGATTAAGACGCTTGAATATGGGCGCCTGAATGTGGGTGGCCACCGAGGTGTGCACGTATATCTGCATTATGATTCACGTTTTAAATGCATAATCCACCTTGACGATAAAGAAGCCACAGTGAGCAGTTATTCTAAGCAATAGCACAATAGAAACAATCGTGTGCTTTTTAAAACTGCTCCAAGAAAATGGTGTTGTTGTTTTTTAAATGCAGGAAGGTTTCAGTGCTGTTTTGTTGGGTCATTTTCAGGTCAACACCTCTAAACCAAATAAGGATTCAATGTCTAGCCTGAGGACAATTCATGAGTGTGAACAGCTTTCATATTGGGGTCTATACACCAGAAGAGAAAACGGTAAGTATCACGTGTGTTTTAATGTTTTTTATTTTAGAAATTTCTGATGTTTATTCATAATTAATAATTCATAATTATTCATAATTCACAATTAATCTCTTTAAATTATATCCAACCCCCCCCCCCCTAAAACTTCTGAGCAAAGTAGCCTGGGTCTGGAGTCAGAAGTATTTTAGTCAGCAGTGCTCTGTGATGTTTTTCGGCATCATGTTGCATCGCATTTTAACTGATCTTTTAATTGCTTTCTTCGGGGCACTGACCTTTCACTTTCCGATGAATCACGATTCCAGTCCAAAGAGATTGAATGAAAGGTGTCTCAAGCCAATTCAAATTTTCTCACAGCTGTTTAAATAAAGTCACAGGAAAGGAATATAGCAGCCCAAAGGAAATTTGGGAACAGAATTTCAAAATAAAAGCACACATGAAAACTAGGTAAAGGACATTGTAAATGTGAGATGACTACGTGGGAATTTTGTTACCATGGAGGCGGAAAGTCGGGCTTTTAAACAAATAAATACATTAATAAAATAGAGTATTTTGTACAGATGTGCATAGACCTTTATGACAATCCTGAACAAAAGTAAAAATAGCAATGACACCTTGTTAATCTACTTTTTTTTTTTTTTAATTATGTTCACTTATTAGAATCAAACATATATAATTTGTTGTTCAGAATATTTTGTTGTTCTGCTGATAAAATGGAGACTGGATGCCATATATATCACATTTAGCCTGTGATTCTTTTCATAAATGTCATTGAATAAATTAATAGTACTATTACGTCATAAAAACAACATGTTAAATCTGTCTGTGAACTTTGTGTAACTGTAAACAAGTAAACAAAGATAATATTACCTTGCATCCCACCTCCTTTTTTGTCGCTTACGTTTTACGTATATTTTGTACTTTTAGATTTGGAGAATGCGTGCAGTAAAATTACGCTTGTATTTATAATTCCCTCGATAGACTTTTACTTTACAAGGCTTTACGAAGCCGTGGGACTTTTATTTTGATACTTTCACGGAAGTTCAATGGGTTGTTGCGTCCGTCTTGAGACCGCTCGAGTCTCCTTGAGGCAGACGCACGCAGCTGGCAGCTGCTTCAGTGCGCGAGACCCAACCATCGAACGGGGAGCTCGCGCTTCTCGCTTCACCTCTGATGGACTTGAGATAAGAGGAGATCAGTCAGCGTCTCTCATTTTTGATGCCCCGGTGTTAGTAACACAGCAAGACACAAACTGCTCTGATGCTCTCAACTGTTCCTGCGCCCATTTTAATGTGTTTTATGGGTTTGCGCTCAACAGTGAGGTAGACTTTTATCCGGGCACATTTTAGAGTGTCAGCGTGTGATTTATCCCGTGGATGCGGCTGTCGGAATCCATGTGAGCCCTGCAGGATCAGCCTGTCACAGGGCATCATGGTGCATCAGGTTCTTCACAAGTGGATGAGGAATATTTCTCCAGAGATGCTGCTGCTGCTCCTGGTGCCGATACTGTGCTCCTTTCGTCTGTCAGGAGCGGCTCCCTCTCTGACTACCGAGCAGCTGGACATGGGGGTGGTAAGTTTTGAACCTTTTCTAGCTACTTACAGAGAACCGGGCTCGGAAGTTTTTCTGCATGGTGCAGGGAATATGAAGTGGTGTGTT